ATGATTTGCTTTGCCAGTGAGAAAAGCCCTGTGTTTTCTTTTGAAGGGGGACGTGTCTGATCTTTGGATTTAAATTGAATCGAACTCTGGACTACTTGTCTTTCACAAGCAGTAAATTGCAACTTCAGGTAATAGTAGAGCAGGAAATAAAAGATAGATTTATGGATAATGGTGTTCTAGGAGATCACAGTGAAGTTATATTTGAGGATTTGAGCAGTTTTTTTTTCTCTCCACAATGGAAGTGAAGTAAAATGAGTACCATTGTCGTTGACAGGAGCAACTTGGTCTGTTGGGTCCCTTCGCCAGGCAAATATAGCAAGCCTACTTTGACTTCTTTTTGTTTGAGATTTTTTTTTTAATGTTTATTTATTTCGAGAGAAAGAGTGTGAGTGGGGGAGAGGGAGAGATAGAGAGAAAGAGAGAGAGGGGAAGGGAGAGAGAGAGAGAATCCTAAGCAGGCTCTGCATTGTCAGTGCAGATCGTGACATGGAGCTTGATGTGGGTCTTGATCTCATGAACTGTGAGATCATGACCTGAACCGAAATCTAGAATCAGACACTTAACTGAATGAGCTACCCAGGCACCCCTTGTTTGAATTTTTTTAAACAGAGAACCATTGAACCATCACATTGTTTCGAATTAAAAGGCTAAAGATACAGAAGTTCTATCACTGAGGAAGGAGCAATGCCTCATTTCTTTTCTAACCCTGACTACCTCATATCCCTCTTCAAAAACCTTCTACTCACCATTGCTGCCCTATCACATCCCAATGACTGTGCTGAGTGAGATATATTGGTTTACTCAGCTTTGGGGGCAACAGGAACCTATTATAATGATGGTTATGAAGGTAAATCAGGAAGATAATTTGCCCAGAGCCACACATTGAAGAAGGTCCCCAAATTTAAAATTTCATGTGGCAATATATTTTGCATGTGTGTTGAAGATATTTATTAGGTAGCTCTAAACATTGAAAAGCAACCATGGTTTCTGTAACCCTGTTTTGGCATTTTCTTTCTTTCTTTCTTTCTTTCTTTCTTTCTTTCTTTCTTTCTTAATTTTTTTTTCTTAGTGTTTATTTTCGAGACAGAGAGAGATAGAGCATGAGTGGCAGAGGGGCAGAGAGAGAAGGAGACACCGAATCCGAAGCAGGCTCCAGGCTGTGAGCTGTCAGCACAGAGCCTGACATGGGGCTTGAACTCACGAACTGTGAGATCATGACCTGAGCCGAAGATGGATGCTTAACCAACTGAGCCACCCAGGCGCCCCGTCATTTTCTTTCTTTTTAAATTTATCAGGTTCAGGGCATCAAAAAATGGAATGTAGCCCAAGCTCCTAACCTCTGAGAGGCCCCAGTTGCCTGCTAGACAGGCTCTCAATAGTGATGGACATAGAAGCTTATGCAGAGGACAGACTTTCCATAACTAATCACACAAAGAATTCATTTAAAATAAGAACTGGGTACCTTGAAAAGGTATAAGGGGACCCTCTCCTGTTTGGGCCATCAGGGGGTATTTCCCCAAGCAGATAAAATCGAAACAGCAAGAGGAGTCAGCCAAATTTGGGGCAGGGGTCAGTTGATGCAAGACAGTAGAAGCAATAGGCCTTAATAACCTATTAGTTTTCAGAGACATAGGTGGACTCTAGGATGGTTTTCATATTTTGAGTTTGGATAAGTGAGTGAATGGTGGTGGTATTAACAAAATAAGTGACTGAGGGAAAATTATTTTCTGGTAGTGGGTGGATATATAAGGTGATTCGTTCAATTCGTGGGTATGCTGAGTATGAGGGAACTTTGAGAAATCAGAGTAGAGATGTTTTATAAATATATGATCATATATTATAAAAAGGGCTTAGTTAGAACCTCATAGGGTATAAGATACTATCCAAATTTAGTGGGTGAGTAGAAAGAATATATTTTGGTACCTGCTTTCAGGAAGCTTATTCTTTAAATGCACTGAAGGAATTAAATAACCACAAAAGATTCCAGGAACCCTCTAAGACAGCAGCAGGAGAAATGTTATAAGCAGTACACAAATGATTTCCAAGAGAATTATATAGATGCTTTTTGCTTTGCAGCAGTTAGTTTCCAAGTAGAATTTCTCATTTGATTTTACTTTTGTTCTACTTTGGTAGTTTGAGCTAGGTTGAGGATTACATGATCTTGTTTAATACCACTGTGGATTATTTGTTTTGGAGTAACTCATTTTAATTTTAGGAGGTAGGTACTGTTATATTTGTCCCATTTTACAGAAGAGGAAACAGAGGTACTGAGAACTTAAATAACTTGCCCAAGTTACGTAGCTAGTAAACAGTACAGTTGGGATTCAGATATAGTCAGTCTGAATCCAAAGCCCTTTCTCTAGTTTTAAAAATGCTATTCTTTTCACTAAATATATCCCATATCACTTAAGTTATTTAAAAACTTTTAGTGGCTGCAAAAATTGTTTAATCATTCTCCTGATTTTAGACATATGTATGTTTTAAATGGTGCCTGTATCTTTAGGATAACTTCTTGAAATGGGTTTCCTGTACCAAGGAATATAAAACCTCTAAGGCGTCTTAAAACATAACAAGTTCTTCTCCAGAGAAGTACAAGTAATTTACAGTCTGAATGTATTTTTCAAGCCCACATAAAAGTATTTTTTTCAACCCTACATGACTGTATAAGCCAAGACAAACAGGAGAATTCAGTAATGCTGCTAAAGATGGTGTTTAGGATAATGAATCACAGAATGTTCAAGCAGAAAAGGAACTCCAGGTGTCATCTAGGCCATCTCCTTCTTTTATTAAGAACCAAGGCTCAGAGAGGTTAAGAGACTCACCAAACCACACCACTAATTAGAGTCAGAGTTAGGACAAGAACGGGCCATTAGCACTATGTGATATACAGTTGACCTTGAACAATGTGGGGGTTTGGGGTGCCAACCCCCTATACGGTTGAAAATCCCTTGACTCCCCCAAAACTGAACTACTAATAGCCTACTCTTGACCAGAAGCCTTACTGATAACATAAACAGTCAACTAACATATATTTTATGCCATATATATATATATATATATATATATATATACACACATACTATATATATGTGTATATATATGCATATATATGTATATATATATAAATACTATATATTATTACAAAAGTCTAGAGGAAAGAAAGTGTTATTAGGAAAATCATGAGGGAGAGAAAATGCACTTAGAGTACTGTACTGTAAAAAATCTGCATACAAATGGACCCAAGCTGTTCAGCCCTGTGTGGTTCAAGAGTCAACTATGTTGACTTAGAGTCTCTTAGATGGTTTGGCTGATTCAGGGGTGTGCAAAGTACCCATCTGGGGTCTTGACTGGAAATTTAAGAGACTCTTATTGTTTGAGTCAACTTCACAATTCCCCCTTGAAACTTCACAGTTGTGTCAGAAGGATGTGGAAGTAACCCAAAGTGTCTTCCTTGAACTGAGATGCCCAGTACCCACCCAAGGAGATAAAGCACTCTGTTGGGCCAAGGGAAACCTGAAATCTCCTTTTTTCAGTTCTCCTGCATCTGGCCTGCTGTCAGATTCATAAAGATGATTCTGAATTCTCTCTCTGTTATTCTGTTGTTGGTACAATGCGTTTGAAAAAAGGGCTACTTACATAATTCAAGACTGATTTTCTGTAGCATTGACCAAAAACAGAGGATATTTCTTTTTATTATTTGCTGCATTATGTAACAATCATATAAAAAGAATTTACAATTAGATTTGGCTTAATATCCATCTGGATAGGCTGGGTTAAGCTATTAAATCTCAAAAGTTCAATAACTTAGCACAATTGGGGGTTGTATCTGGCAAAATCCGAAGCAGGCTTGTTGGCCATCCACTATGTTGCAGATAGGCCATACCAGGGTTGCCAAGGCAGGGGAAAGGAGACTTAAAGGCTCTTAACTCACTCAACCTGGAAATGACAAATGCCATAGTCCATTGACCAGAACTATAAGCATGGTTCTTTTTGTTTTTAATTAATTAATTTTATTTTTGGGGGCAGATGCTGATTTTTATTTATTTTTTAAATTTTTATTTATTTATTTTTTGAATATAATTTATTGTCAGATCGGCTTACATACATCACCCAGTGTTCATCCCAACAAGTGCCCTCCTCAATGCCCATCCCAAGGGATAGAAGCATGGTTTTGATTCAACTGGAGGAGAGGCTGGGAAAAGTATGTGGAGGAGCACATGGATATTTGATGAGCACTAATGGTCTCTTTCAAATACTTGGTGCTTGGTACTTTGAAATTATACACTTAAAAAAAATTATAGGCAATTTTATAAAATTTGAAGTTTTAAACATATAGGTAAAACATTCATATTACTTTCCTCTAAATATGCTTAAAGTGTAACTCTGTAGTGTAGCACATGTTTGTTTGTTTTAAGTTTATTTATTTATTTTGTGGGGAGGGAGAGAAAGAGTCCCAAGCAGGCTCCGTGCTGTAAGCACAGAGCCCAATGTGGGGCTCAAACTCAGGGACTGTGATATCATGACCCGAGCCGAAATCAAGAGTTGAATGCTTTAACTGACTGAGCCGCCCGGGCGCCCCACATGCTATCATTTTAAGAAATCCTTTTGAGTTTCCTATTAAAAACAGCAAAGCCCTTCCTTAATAGTTGTGGGATTTGGGCAAGTCACTTAACTCTGTAAATCTGTATCCCAGTTGAAAATGGGATAATAATCATCATTCGTGGTATGTTGTAAAAATTAGGGTAGAGATTGCATGCTAAACACTTGACACAGTGCCTAGCACAAAAGGTAAGTGCTCAGGGAGTATGAATTTTTCTTTTTACTCACATTGTTGATATTGCAGTGAACCTACTACTGTTGACAGTAATGTTGAATTCTCTGACTCAGTGGTGTATCTATAATAATCTGAAAATCATGTATTTTATGAGAACAAGTGATGTTTTAGTCAAATTTTGGAAACAAAATGTCTTCAACTTCTATATGTTCTCATCTTGGTAGACATGGGGAGTTTCAGAGGTCATGCCCTCCCTGGAACCTTCTTCATTACCATGGGTATTTGGTGGACCATAAAGTGCACTCTGAAGTATGCCTGCAAAAAGCACAAACGGACTTCCTACCTTGGTTCCAAAGCATTATTCCATCGAATGGATATTGTGGAGGGAATTACAATAATTTGCATGGCTTTAACTGGTGAGTGGACCATTTCTGTGTTCTGTTTTTTTCCTTTTGGGTATTTCTACACACAAAGAGATAATTATCAAATCAAGAAATTGCTAAAATGAATTTTTTATTCAAAAATATCTCTGAATGCATATTCTGATTATAATTTGTATCTGATAAAACTTGTTAGAAGGGGACACTTCATGTTTATACAAAGGCCTATTCCTTAATGAGTTGGTCATAGTAATTAACTTGCCTGCCCACTCAAGGTGAGTTTCCCTTATAGAATTAGTTGGAACCTCTGAAATGATTTTATTTTATTTTATTTTATTTTATTTTATTTTATTTTATGAGAGAGAAAGAGAGAACAAGCAGGGGAAAGGGGCAGAGGGGGAGAGAGAGAGAGAGAGAGAGAGGGAGGGAGAGAATCTTAAGCAGGCTCCACACTCAGCACAGAGCCTGATACAGGGCTTGATCCCACAGCTCTGGGGTCATGACCTGAGCTGGAATCAAACCAGGTGCCCATGAAATGATTTTATATAATTTATTCTGATGCCTTAAAGAGTAAAATTTATCAGAAAATCAGAAACCATTTTTCAAAATGGCACCAAAATAATCAAGTGACTATGGGAAAGCTTCAATCATAAGTTGTTGCTGTTGGACTGTACAGAGATCAGGCTGAAGAAAACCTTGCTTCATGCACTTTCATCCTTTTCTGTGTGGTTTCTAAATTGAAAAAGGAAGTTAGGCCAGATAAATTCTAAAGCCTTTCCGTTGACTATAAGATTTTGTGAAAATTTTCTGTGTTTTTAGAATTCCACTGCAGCTGCTCCTTTGTGAAAGGCATAATGTTCTCATTTTCCTTTGTATTTCTTCATGCTTTATTCATGGCACTAGGTCTTTGCTATGGCCATCAAATTATAGAGCAACCATTTCCAATGGGAAGAATTGCCATGCCAAATTCCATAGGTTAATACACAACATAACATCTTTAAGAAAGTTTAACTATTTGTGTTACAGACTAGACCATGTGCTATAATCTGTCTGTGTTTTCTCAGTTATCCTTAATTGGGGAAAAGCTGAACTCTAGCATTTTTGTTCTGAATCAAGCACAACTCCCCCCTTCATGGCAAGTCCCCAAGATGTAAGATGTATCAGAAGGAAGTAATAGGCCTTTGTAGGACTGAGCTCACAAATCCAAACCCCACATCGTTCAGGATTTATCTAGTCATTAGGTGACAATAGGAACTAAGACCATCAGTGGAACTGATCACAGAACTAAGTGGGAACTGAAATGATAGGCTTGAAGATGTGAAATAAACAGCCATTTGTCTAAATTGGTTATCTTTGACTACAAATTGATCATCCAAACCAGTATTTGAACCTCTAAAACCAACCGTAGGCACCAGTGCTTAGCTGTTGGGAAAAAGCCAAGAAAGAAGAATCAGCATCATAAAAGAACACTCAACTTAACTAAGCTATGGGCTTAACCTCTCCTATCTTCCTGCTTTCTCTGTGAAGTTATGGAGAAGGTTGCTAAAACTGTGATATGTTCCTTTGCAGGCATGCTTGGAGAGCAGTTTGTTACTGAAGGGCCCCACTTGGCTTTATATAACTATAAAGAGGGCCAGTGGGTCCAACTCCTGAGCTGGCATCATTCCACCATGTATTTCTTCTTCGGGCTGGTGGGCGTGGCAAACATCTTAAGGTTTATCATCAATTCGTTTCCCATTTCCTTAATCAAATTGCTGCTGTCGAATGCCTTATTTGTTGAGGGTAAGTATACGTGAGTACTTTCCTGTACCTTTCATTATCATTGGACACTTGTATAGCCCTGTACAATAATATTCCTTTAGTGTCCTGGTGCCAGCTTGATCAACCAGGCCATCTGGGCCATGGTGAAATAGTCAGATGTCCTATGCAGGATGCCAAGGATTTTTCCTTCCTTACTGACTCATGTAGCACAATAGGACAAGCATGACCATTCAGTGTACTTTATTCACATTTTACATCATTCTTAACACCTACCATGGTTATTTATCTCTAGATTATCCTGGAGACTATCATTATTTCCATTTTTAACAAATGAAACTGAACTTAAGTAAAGCATGAATATCCTGAAGTGAGGGGACCACTCACATCAACTTGCTAACCTACTAATTAGTGTTTTTCATATTGATATAGTAAAATTCCACCATTACATAATAAGTAGGGTCAAAAAATCAGTCACATGAAAATAAGGGGTCCTATTTTTGAGAAGTTAATGAAAAACATTTTTTGTTCAGTTGATGTTCCTGTTACTGTGTAGGGCAACAGCGAAAACAAGTGTTCAGTGATTTGTTTTCATTTGTTATATTTATAAGAAATAGATTGATTATAGGACTAAAAAAAATCCCCACATTATCGGGAGGCAATCATTTCCTAACTGTCCACCTTCCTTCCCACATCTGAAGATGAGGACTTTTGCTAACTCCTCTTTGAGAACAAAGGCTAATTAAAAGATGGGCATCAACAACCAACAGCATGATTCTCATTATCTCAGGGTGTTACCACATTTTGAGTGAACATCTCTTCCTCCTCATGAAGATAAAGCTGAAATCTGTTCATGGGATTAAAACATATAGGTAGTTACTGCTTCTTGGGAGTTTCCAGAGCATCTTGTCATACCCATCAAAATCCACTGTTATGATTTGTGTATTTATTTGTTTACTCCAATGGACTGAATTCCTTAAGGCAAGGATTTGTCTCATTCATCTGTGAATTCACCCTGACTCTTGCTCCCCTGCCACCATCACACTTATTTTTCATCCTCCTGCATAGAAGATGCTTTGAAATATAGTTAGTTGAAAATGTCATGATATATTAGACGAGGAAATAAAGGTTAGTAAAGGGAAAAGGAGTGTTAGATTTCCATTCTTAAGAGTTAATTATGACTCCAAAAATGCTAGAGGGTTCCATCATTGTGGGAAATGGAGAGCACTTGTTATTTTGGACAGATTTGTGTGTGTGTGTGTGTGTGTGTGTGTACGCATGTACATGTGAGTGTGTAAAATTCTGTGTGTGGGGTCACTGAGAGAGAGAGAGAGACAGAGAGAGAGAGAGAAAGAGAAATGGTGGTGTCCCTTGGTTTCATTGAAAAAGGCAAACTGTTTTTTCCCTCTCTATCAGCTTTTATCTTGTACAACCACACTCATGGCCGGGAAATGCTGGACATCTTTGTGCACCAGCTGCTGGTCTTGGCTGTCTTTGTGGCAGCCCTGATAGGCTTCTTGGAGTTCTTTGTAAGGAACAATGTCATTGTGGAGCTTCTTCAGATGACCTTTATCCTGCTTCAGGGAAGCTGGTTCTGGCAGGTGAGTTGGGGCCTCCAGTTAATGTGCCTGGTGTTTCCATCTGTAATCTTTTGGTGGGATATTTTGCTCTATAACCTAGAGACTTCCTTCTGATGTGCTGACTGTAGAGAGAATGTGAGTCTTTGAGAGGTGATATTTCTTTGAGTAGCCCAGCGTTCTGGTGGGAGTGCTGATGGAGCAGAGGGGAAGGAAGTAGGATGTGTTCATCTTCATCACATACCTGAATATCTCTAAGGTAGGAATTCTGAGCCATTGCTTTTTGTTGGCAGCAGTTTCTAATCCTGAAGCTGCTTACAGTGTAATGGGTCATAAGCTTGAGAAACATATGAAAGGCAGGAAAGAGAGGAAACTATTACTTACTGAGAAACAACCGTGAACCAGCCACTCTAGAGGACTTTTTACATACGTATTATTTCATTTTGTCCTCAAAATGACCTGGAAGTTAGGTATTATCATCCTCAATTTACTGATATGACTCAGTGAGACCAAGTTACTATCCCAGGCTCACACAATAGTGGAACAAAGATCTAAATGTGGGTCCTAGACTCTTTCCATTTTACTCTGTTGACTACCTAACCTTGGTGTGTTGTCAAAAACATGTATTCCAATCAGTGAGTGTATATTTTATACAGACTGATACATCGTACTCTAATATGCATATGTAGATGTAAAGAAAGTCTGGGATGAAAGGTGAATGTGGTTTAATTGGGGATGACTTCTTAGAGGAGATGTTTAGTTGCCAGAGAGCAGGAACTTGGGATGAGGTTGTTGCAGGGGTTTGCATTTCATATGAGGAGTGATAAGAAAGTGGTGACAAGGAGACATCATGGTCAAAACGGGATAGGAAAGCTGTGATATTTAAGCATAGGTGAGCGTGGAACGGTTGTGGGGAACAGAGGCTGGTAAAGAAGGGCTATATGCAAAGGGCATTTTGAAGGAAAAATGACATAGAGGAACAAATATCCTGTAATGTGATGAAACTGATGAATTTAACCAGTTTATAAATACAAGTCATTTTATTAAATTATCATTTGCTGAAAAGCTGAATAAAATGGTATGTAAAACACTATTATGAATTCTGTATCTTCTGATTGGAATGTTTTACCATGTGCATGCATTGCCTATGCAAAAATAAACATAAATTTTAAAATTTTCAAAAAAGCTAATTTGTGGTCAGGATGACACAGTGAGTTTATATGTCAGTGTATCTCCTCTACTCCAGACACATAATAATGAAAGATGAAATTTTAAAAATACTATAAAAAAAAGAAACTAAAAGAAGAAAAAATAAATAAAAAATAAGAAAATAACCTAGCTGCAATTGAACAACACAGACAGAAACAGGGCAAGCCACCTACCTTGTGGGCCAGACCAGAACAGCACTGTATAGTGGGAGTAGAGCTGAGTGGCAGGACTGTGGGCACCAGTGGAATCAAGAGCAAATAAAAGGGTTCCTCTCAAGGTGAGAGGTGAGGCCAGGCTCTTGGAACTCTAGTTGTACTGTGTATACTTTCTGTCTTCCTGTTTGCTTTTCGTCTTATTGATCTATTTCATAGCGGTCTGCTAAAGTTTCATATGATAGTTCTAGATTTGTCAATTTCTCCTTATTTTCAGTTTTTGCTTAAATGTTATAAGGCTGTATTCTGCTTATACTTTTCTAGTTTTTTTTTTTTTTATTGAATGCTCACTTTGTTTCTGTCTTTCTTGTTTTAAAATAAATATATCTCCAGCTATAGATTTCCCTCTACATACTACTGTAGCCATTTCCCATAGGATTTGATGTGTGGTAGTTTTCACTCTTGGGAAACTTTGAATATTGCATTTTCCATGTGCTTTCCTCTTTAATTTATGAGTTAACTAGGAGTGCGCCTTTAAGTTTCCAAAAATGTTATTTTTATTTTTATTGTTCATTTTCAATTTAATTGCTTTGTAGTCATAGAATGTGTTGACTCTGAAATGCGTTGTATTGAAACTTCCTTTGGAACAATGTCAGTGGTAGTAAATGTTCTATGTATTTGAAAGAAAGTATGTTCTATCTTCATTGAGTTCAGGATTCTCTATATATTTATTAAATCAAGTTTGATAAAGAGCTAACTAAGTAAAGAAAGTTGAAAGTAAGAACAAAAGAAGAAACACAAGGAAAGTAAAAAGTAAATAAAAGGAATAATAAAGATAAGAGCAGAATTAATGAAACTGATTAGTGTTCCATTAATCATTAATGACTCATTAAGGATTTGAGGGAGGAAGCATCGGCTGTCACAACTGAGAATAGACTGACCTAATGTTGTCCCTTTTGGCAGAGAAATAATGTTTTCATATTTTTCCAAAAGCTTTTCTAAGAAAGAGCTATGAGGTTAACATTTTGGGGTGTAAATCTGTGACTATTTAAAAACCTTTTCCATCTATCAGTATGTCTAGACTAGTTTCTTTTTTTACCTGGTGGCCAGACTAAATAACGCTTAGAGGCTTAAAGAAAAATGAACATTTAATACCAGTGCAAACACACACACCGACAGGAAATGAAGGTTTAGCCATAGTATCTCTCTCTATCCTCAGATGACTCCAAAACAAAAATGTCTAGAGACTTAGGTGAATTTTTATGCTTTTATTTTGATGCTTTGTGTGGTGTTATGAAGGTTTATGGCCCAAATTGTCTTAAGCTAATCATATGACATTGTGATTTGCTTTTCACCATACTTTTTCTCTCTCTACTTCTCCATAGATGGGTAATACTAGCATATAAATAATAAATAGACACATTGTCACATGTAGACTCTTTGACCTGTAAGAAGATGTGAAATAAATGAGGCAAATGTTCAGATTGGCTGCTTTTTTTTTTTATAACTCATACACGAATGATTGGGTGATAGGCAAACCTGGATGGAACGCCCTTCCCAACCTCTAAAAATGATTTCTTTCATGAATGTCATTCTAGTCAGATATGCTTTCTGAAAAACCTATCCATGTCATGCAATTTAAAAAAGAAACAGATACCCTTCAAAGTCCATTCATTCCATGAATCATGATTTCTCTGAGACTCTTTGTGGGAGAGTATTTCTAAGGCTCACTTTTGCACTATGTCATTTCCAAGTTCCCTCACATCATTGTCAGAGCTGAGGCACAGAGACCATCAGGAATGAGGAAGACATTTCTGCTGTGTTTGCTTCCTATTACTTTGAACAGTTACTTCTATTTCATCACCCAGCTCCACTAATTGCCCCAAGGACTCCTCTCAAGAATTCCCAGATTACTGAGCCCAACGTAAAACTCAGCTTTGTTTTGCCTTTAAGAAAGACAAAAGTTCATTCAAAGATATCAAAAAGACCCAACTAAAGCAGTAGTGGTCTGAAGTCTGATATAGTGGATCAAACACTTGCTTAAGGCTAATAGTGTTGAAAGAAGTGATTAGAGAATAAGATATAAAACAATAGGAAATTCGAACTCCAACCTATAGGAAATGGGCCTCTGGCTTGTTGTATATTAGAGAAGATAATTATTTACATTTTAAATGTGATATTAATGAAGCTTAAACTACTCAAAAACAGATGGTCAGAAGTGGCATAGAAGATACAGCAAGAAAAAATTCTTTTTAAGACCTATTTTTTTGTTATTGTTGAAATTTTACATTAGGAAGCAAATTAGAATATTAAATGAAAGAGTAATGGCTGATTCTATATTTAAAGGAAAATTTAATGAGTTGTGGCATCTTTTGGCCTTTGTATTTCAGCTTTCCTAATTCACTTGCTTTTAGCCTGAAATGACTTGGGAATGTTTCTATGGCTTTCACAATAATCACATCAGTTAACTGTACTCATAGGCTTCATGGTAGCTTTCAGTTTCAGGCTATAAGGGTCTCAATGAGATTGGCAGTGAGAGGCGCTCAAAGTCTCTCTTTAAGCATTTGACTGGTAGGATTGGTGATGACCAATGAAGGTGACTTAAAGAGATGTTTTATTTTGAGTGCTCTAAAAAGCAATTGTGAGTATGGCATGGAAGGAGAAGTCCGTGAGACTCTAGGTCAGGCAGACCTGGACTTGAAGTCTGGTTCCACCATATTTATCTCATGAATGTATACTGTATATTCTATGCCTTACCAGAAGGTAAAGTTGAGTTGGGATTTGAAAGATGGATGAAAAACCACTAATGTGTCCAGGCTTCAGGTTTAGGATAAGTGATTCTCCTTTGCTTATTTTGGTCTTAGCTCCTGTATTAGTTTCTTTCTCTTTTTTTTTTTTTAAGTTTATTTTTATTTTGAGAGAGATAGAGAGCAAGCAGGGGAGGAGCAGAGAGAGAAGGAGACAGAATCTCAAGCAGGCTCTGTGCTGTCAGTGCAGACTCGACATGGGGCTTGAATTCACGAACTGTGAGATCATGACCTGAGCCAAGACCAAGAGTTGGACGCTCAACCAACTGAGCCACCCAGGCACTCCAGCTCCTGTATTAGTTTCTTAGGGCTGCAAAAACAAAGTCCCAAAGACTGGATGACTTAAGGCAATGGAAAGTTATTCTTTCACTGTTCTGGAGGCCAGAAGTCCAAAAATCAAGGTGTCAGCATATTGGTTTCCTTTTGGGGACCCAAAGGGAGAATCTGTCCTATGCCACTATCCTAGAGAGTTGTCAGCAATCCTTGACATTCCTCAGCTTATGGCAGCATAACTGCAACCTCTGCCTCCATAGTCACACCTGTGTGTCTCTGTGTACCTGTGTCTTCACATGGCCTTCCATTATAAGGACACCAGTCATTGGATTTAGGGCCAATTCTAATCCAGTATGACCTCATCTTACCTTGATGACATCTGAAAAAACCCTATTTCCAAATAAGGTCACATTCACAGACACCCAGTATTGGGACATCAACATGTCCTTTTAGAGGACACAGTTTAACCCACAACAGCTGCTAACCCTTACCTCTGGGAGCTATAGCAAATCACTCCCCAAGCAGAGATAGATGGATCATGGCACTGGAAGGACATTGGTGGGACAAATAGGAATTGTGGAACTTGTCCATAGTTCATTACACTCAACTGTCCTCTAAAAGACCCTTCCTTGACACAGAATTTCTCTATCACCTTCCATTAGTGGCTGCAAAAGGAGGGCATGAAAAGCAGGGGAATAATGATATCTTCTTCTTGGGGTTATTATGAGGACTGAAGATAATCATGAAGTTTACATGCATGAGTGAAGTTAAGCTGCCCCACACATAATGGTACATCTACCAAGTGGAAAGAGAGTGGTAACTCTCTTTCCAACTAAAGGGAATTCTTTAAAATGGGAAATGGAAACAAGTGATTAAGGCCCAAATCTTGTTTTTTCCTGATTTACTCAGGCTATTTGAAATTTCATACAGAAATGGAATTAAAATTTCACTCAATGTTATGGATTAAATGCTTTTTTGTTCCTGTAAGATTTCATTTATTAGATGTGTAAATCTGGGCAAATTACAAAACCACCCAATTTTCTCATCTGGGTGATGAAGATAATAGTACATCAAAATGGGATAATAACACATCATTGCAGGGCCATTGTAAGGAAAACTCCCAAGCAGCATAACTGACATTTAGTTAGCCAATATACGGTGGATATTTGTCCAGTTATCCATGTAAGTATCTTGTTATTGTAATTTTTTAGCATCTGACAGATGTCCATCCCTCTATCCCCCATCTGTACATCATCTGTCCAAGTCTATCTATCTATCTATCTATCTATCTATCTATCTATCATCATCATCATCTACCTATCTTCTCTATCATATTATTTTTTATTGGGATAAACTTTACATAACATAGAATTAACCATTTTAAAGTGTATAATTCAGTGCCATTTAAGTACATTCACAATATTGTGCAACTCTCACCTTTATGTAGTTCTAAAACATTTTCATCACTCCAGAAGGAAACCTTGGAATCATTCAGCAGCCATTCTCTTTCATTCTCCTCCTAGCCCCTGATAATCACTAATTTGCTTTTTCTTTCTATGGATTTACCTATTCTGGATATTTCATGTAAACAGAATCATACAATATGTGACTTTTTGTATCTGGCTTCTTTCCCTTAAAATAATGTTTTCAAGATTAATCTATGTTGTATCATGTATTAGTGAATCATAACTTTTCATAGCTTAATAATATTCCATTGTATAGATGTACCATATTTTGTTTAATTCATCATCAGTTGATGGGCATTTGGGTTGTTTTCAACTGTTGACTATTATGAACAATTTGTTTACAAGTTTTTGTTTGAATACTTCTTTTTAGTTCTTTTGGGTATATACTTAGGAATGGCATGTGATAATTAATTCTACACTTGGCTTTTCAAGAAACTGTCAAATTGTTTTCCACAATGACTACACCTTTTATATTCCTATCAGAAATTTATAAGGAATCCAATTTCTCCATATTTTTACTAACACTTGTCATTATTAGTGTTATTACCATCCTAGTGGGTGTGAAGGGGTATCTCATTGTGGTTTTGATTTGTATTTCTCTAATAACAATGTTCATCATTTTTTTCATGAGTTTATTGACCATTTGTATACCTATTTTTGGAGAAATGTCTCTTAAACTCCTTTGCCCATTTAAAAAATATATTTTTTTGTCTTTTAGTTGTTGAGTTTTAGGTCTTTATACATTCTAGATATTGACTTCTTTTAGGTATATGATTCAGCAGTATTTTATCCTATGCTATGGGCTGTCTTCTCATTTTCTTTCTTTTTTTTTTTTAAGTTAATTTATCCATTTTGAGAGAGAGACAGAGAGAATGAGCAGAGGAGGAACAGAGACAGAGGAAGAGAAATAATCCCAAGCAGGCTCCACACTATCAGCATCAAGCCTGATGTGGGACTGAAACCCATGAACCTTAGATCATGACCTGAGCCAAAATCAAGAGTTAGACACTTAACTGACTGAACCACCCAGGGGCCCCTGTCTTTTCATTTTCTTGAAAGTGTCAATTGAAATACAAAAGTTTAATTTTGGTGAAGCTCAATTTATGTATTTTTTCTTTGGTTGATTGTACTTTTATTTAAAAAAATTTTTTAACGTTTATTTATTTTTGAAGGAGAGAGACAGAGTGTGAGTGGGGGAGGGGCAGAGAGACAGGAAGACACAGAATCTGAAGCAGGCTCCAGGCTCTGAGCTGTCAGCACAGAGCCCGACGTGGGGTTCACAAACTGTGAGATCATGACCTGAGCTGAAGTCAGATGCCCAACCGACTGAGCCACCCAGGCACCCCAGGTTGATTGTATTTTTACTGTAATATCTAAGAAGTCATCAGCAATCCCAGGTCATGAAGATTCCTCCTATGTTTTCTTCTAATAGTTTTATGGTTTTACTTCTTATATTTAGTCTTTGACCAATTTTGAATTAATTTTTGTATGTGGTGTGAGGTAAGGGTCCAAATTCATCCTTTTGTATGTGGATATCCATTTGTCCCAGCACCATTTGTTGAAGAGACGATTATTTACCCATTGAATGGCCTTGGCACTCCTATCAAAATGAATTTTCTACAGACATATAGATTTATTTCTGAACTCTCAATTCTATTTCATTGATCTATATTTCTATCATTATGTCAGTACCACCCTATTTTGATTATTGCAGTTTTTGTAGTAAGTCTTGAGATCAAAAAGCATAATTCTTACAACTTCGTAATTCTTACAACTTTTTCTTTTTTGAGGTTGTTTATGGGTTCCTGGAAATTCCATATGATTTTTAGGATCAGCTTTCCATATCTGTAAAAACAACAACAACAACAAAAACCATTGGGATTTTGATAAGGATTGCATTGAGTTTATAGATTGCTTTGGGTGTTATTGACATCTTAATAATTTTAAATCATCCAGTCCATGAACATGGGATGTATTTCATTTGTTTAGGCTTTGATTTCTCTCAACAATGTTTTATATAGTTTTCAATGTACAAGTCCTGAACCTCCTTGATTAAATTTATTCCTAAGTATTTTATTTTTTTCAATGCTATTATAAGTGGCATTGTTTTCTTTTTTTTCTTTTTTTTTTAACGTTTATTCATTTTTTTTTAATTTTTTTAATTTTTTTTTCAACGTTTATTTATTTTTGGGACAGAGAGAGACAGAGCATGAACGGGGGAGGGGCACAGAGAGAGGGAGACACAGAATTGGAAACAGGCTCCAGGCTCTGAGCCATCAGCCCAGAGCCCGACGCGGGGCTCGAACTCACAGACCGCGAGATCGTGACCTGGCTGAAGTCGGACGCTTAACCGACTGCGCCACCCAGGCGCCCCATATTCATTTTTGAGACAGAGAGAAACAGAGCATGAATGGGAGGTCAGAGAGAGAGGGAGACACAGAATCCGAAACAGGCTCCAGGCTCTGAGCTGTCAGCACAGAGCCCGACACGGGGCTCGAACTCACGGACCACGAGATCATGATCTGAGCCGAAGTCGGACGCCCAACCGACTGAGCCACCCAGGCACCCGACATTGTTTTCTTAGCATAATTTTTGGGTTGTTCATTGCATGTGTATAGAAGTACAACTGAATTTGTGTGTTTATTTTGTGTCCTGCAAGTATGATGAATTCATTTATTAGCTTTAATAGTTCTTTTGTGTACGGATTCTTTAGGATTTTCTCTATATAAGATTATATCATCTGTGAATGTAGAAAGTTTTACTTCTTCCTTTAGAATCTGGATGCCCTTTATTTTTCGTGACTAATTTTTGGCTAAAAATTTTTAGTACAATGTTGAATAGAAGTGGTGAATCAGACACTCTCATCTTGTTGCTAATCTTAGGGGAAAAGCTTTCAGTCTTTTATCATTGAATATAATGTTATCTGTGAGCATTTATTTTAAAAACTTTTTGTATTCTAATTCTGAAATAACTGAGTGAAATTGCACAACTTAGAAACCTGGCACATTCTCTGAAAGTCCATAATCCACAGAGATGATTACTATCCACATTTTAAAAATTCATCTTCAAATGTCCTTAATGTTTTTTTTTTTTGGAATTATGACCTGGTAGATACTATCTGTATTACTTAAATAGGCAGTGAAACCTGATGACCTATCTGTAGCATCTCAGGTAATTAGAGTTGTCTTAGTTAAGATTGATCTTGGAACCAAACATTTTGAAATGTGCTATCATTGGGAATGTGATTGATTATTTTCAATATGTGCTTTTTGTTTTAAATTACAGATTGGTTTTGTCCTTTATCCCCCTAGTGGAGGTCCTGCATGGGATTCAATGGATCATGACAACATTATGTTTCTCAGCACATGCTTTTGTTGGCATTACACATTACACATTGTCATTGTTGGAGTGATTTATGCCTTTGTTACTTGGTAAGTTAGTGACTTTTTTGTTCATGGAAGCTCTATTCCTTGGTATATGACCAACAAGACTCAAAAGTATTGAACTTAAGTTCAAAGGGGGACTTCATTCTTTAGTATTCCACAAGACAGGGTAATGTAGCAGAAAATTATCTGCAAACCCAGAAATCCCCCCCTTGAAAGAATAAATGCTGGTTTAAAGTTAGACTCGCTCAACAGTGTCTCAGCTGTCTCTCTGACCTATGACCTATGTGTCTCCCTTCAACACTTTTCTGTGCCTTTGTGTCTTTGCATATGCTGTTTCTTTTTCCAAATGGGCCTCTCCATACCTGCAGTGAGCCCTCGATTTGCCCATGTGGACATTAATGTTAGCAATTCACAAGCTTGGTGTCACATTTTGATCAACATTTATGTTTCCCATTAAATATGAGTATGTGATTAATTTGACATTTACTCTAATATTTCTAAAAGTAAGATTCAGTTGTTTTTAGAAAGACTCCGATTCAATGTTTCACAATGAACGAAGAGCAATATAACAGACAGATTGATAAAACACATATTCCTAGCTCTCCTACCTATCAACTGTATGACTTTGGGCAAATTATGTAACCACATTAAGTCTCAGTTTTGTTGTTTGCAAAATGGGAAAAATAATAGTACCTAAATAAGAAATGTGTGTAAATGTATGCATAGGACATAATGAGGGTGCAGTGGAGGTTATTCTTGTTGTTCTTATTCTTTTTGTGTTATTTTTCTTGTTCTCCTCCTCCTCCTCCTCCTTCTGTATCAAAAAATGCATAAAGTATAGACCCTATGGGGAGAAACAGACAATTTAGATACAGTGCAATTGGTGGAAATAGTAGAACAAAGCACTATTGGAGCCCAGAGGAGGCTTCCTCATATTTGAGAATTAAGCTTCATCTTGAAGAATAAGAAATAGAAAAAGTTGAACATGATTCCTATCTTTAAGGTAGCTCATACCAAATCACAATGGGTCTAGCTGATCCCAACTATTAAGCATGCAGACTCTACACTTAATTCTGCAGACGTCAGCACTGATCTAAATGTTCTATATCTGCAGTTTTCATTTGGTAGCCATGAACTACTTAATTATGTGGTTATTGAACACTTGACATGTGCCTAGTGCCACATTAATTTAAATATCTGTATATGCATAGTGACTACCATATTGGACAGTATACATCTAGTAGGTTCTCTAGATAAATAAACTGCAGTAGCTGCTTCTAGGCCCAGTGTGGTCTCAGCATCTTCAAAAACTAGCTTTCTACTCTTCTTTCCCAGGTCACCCCTCCTT